TAATTCACATATCATAAAGTCACCCATTTAAAACGTACAATTCATTTGTTTTTAGTATAGGCAGATACATGAAACTATCACCTCTGTCAATGTGAGAATTTTTTTTGACACTTTAAAAGGAAACTGTGAAACCTTTAGCTATCACCCTGCCTAAACTCCTATGCCCTGCCCCCAGTTCTAAGTAACCACCGGTCTACTTTATGTTTCTAGATTTCTCTATTCTGGATATTCCCTTGTGGTTTTGATGAGCAACCAGGCCTCTTTCTCTCCCACCCTGGAAGTGAGACCATTACAGGGGCTCCTGGCACCTCTTGCCCTGTCCCTGAGTGAGTTCAGTCCAGAACATGAGAGTTGCAGCCTGCCATCATACTCTGTAGCCTGCAATGAGATAGGCTTCTCCAAAGTTAGAGTCTAAAGAATCGGGGTCCACCAAAGTGGATTGCATCCCCCAGTCCACACACATGTGCACACACAAGGAATTAGATCAGGGTGATAAGCAATTATAGTTCAGACAGGTCTGACCACCCTCACACAGCTGGGGGATTGTAAAATGGTGCAGCCGCTATGGAATACAGCTTCCCAGTTCCTCAAAGCGTTAAACATCTAGTCACCCCTATGACCCAGCAATTCCACTTCTAGGTAAATACTGAAGAGAATTGAAACTGTATGTCTGTGCAAAAGCTTGCACACAAATATTCGTCGAAGCATCATTCATGGTAGTTGAAAACTTAGAAAAACCCAAATGTCCATCAACAAGGGAATAGATAAACAATATGTGGCACATCCATAGAACAGAATACCACTTGGCAATAGGAAGGAATGAAGTGTGGATATGTGAGAGAACATTGAAAATACTGTGTGGGGACGCCTGGGTGGCTCAGCGGTTAAGCATCTGCCTTTGGCTCAGGGCGTGATCCTGGAGTCCTGGCATCGAGTCCCACATCGAGCTCCCTGCATGGAGCCTGCTTCTCCCTCTGCCTATGTCTCTGCCTCTCTCTCTCTCTCTCTCTGTGTTTCTCAAGAATAAAATAAATAAGATCTTAAAAAAAAAAAAAGAAAATACTGTGTCATGTGACCATACCAGACACAGAAATTGATCTGAAATGTCCTGGTCAGGTGAGACGGTGGGGATGGAAAGTAGATCAGTGGTCGCCAGGGGCCAGGGAGAGTGGCAATGGGGAGTGACAGCTCATGGGTATGGGGTGTTTCGGGGGAGGGATGGAGACGTTGTGGAGGTAGATGGTGGCGATGATTGACAGTGTTGAGCATCTGCTGTAGACCAGTGAACCACACATTTCAGAATCGTTAAATGGTGAGAGAGGAAGATAGAAACGGAGGGGCCATCTTTCAGCCAGGGAAGTGGGAGCATCTGAGGATTTATATTAGAACCGTGGTAAGAAGCAGGATCTGAAACCTGTTCTAGGCAGCCACCTGTGCTCCCCATGCCGTCAAATTCACTCTTGACCAGGTCACTGAGGACCTTTCTGGGGCCCTATCTTGCCGATTGGGGCTGGCCCTTCTGTTCACAGACTCCAGACTCCCATATCCATCTGTCTCAAAGCCCTGCTGGGATACCCAGTAGGGAGCCCAGCCCTAACTTCTGCAAAACCACTGTCACCCTCCCATCAAACCTGCTCCCCCCACAGACTTCCTGACCCCTGTAAACAGCAGCTCCATCTTTCCAGTTGGAGGCAGCCGTGGGTAGAATATAATTTCCTTGTTACCAGAAGGACCAGCACCTTTAGGTCCTGTGATGGTCAGATGTGAACATCGAGGAATTGAAGCTTCCAGGGGAAAGGTAAAGGTCTTGGGTTCAAATCCCAGCCCTTACTTCCTGATCATACAGCTGTGTTTGGTTACCTAAACCTGCCCAAATCAAGTGTGTCCTCCCTGTGATGGTGGTCATGAGGCCTTCTAGGATGGTGGTTTCAGATGAAATAATGTGGCAAAGCCCCCTGCCATTCCCTGGCCCACCAGAGATGCTCCAAACCGACACTTCCAGGGGCCCTGGGCTGCCCAGGTGACTGACAGTGGGGGTGGTGGGGATGGGCCCAGGGCTCCAGGATCACCTCCGCGAGCTCCACACTCTGCTCCTAGGGTGCTTTAGGTAGAATCAGAGAGATCACAAGCTGAAGAAGTTTCCCCTCGCGGCTTGATGCAGAGCATCTGGGGAGGGCAGAAGGGTGGGCCAGGAGCTCTCAGAGACAGCAGAAGCCTTCGAGTATCACAAATATGCTCAATCTGGCCAAAACCGTGTCTGCAATCAGGCCCAGGAGAAGTACTTGCACAAAAATAACACCTTTGGAGATAAGAGGATGTTTCTTATCTGGGGGATTTTCTTCTGGGTCTTCACACACCGAGCTCAGGGGCGGCTTTGGAGGGAATTTGGAGAGAGGGCGGTAAAGGTGAAGAGGCTGGAGGGCCTGGCTTGGGGAGCGAGGGGAGTGGCATGGCCGGTGGCTGTTTTGGGGAGCCGGGGCGCCTGGCAGGTGTTAAAGGCCCAGATGGGAGGAGAGGTTCGGGCGAGTCTGGGAGGAGCGCTGCTGTGATGTCACGGAGAGGAGGTGACCGGCTGAGCATGAAGACCGTTTCTGGGCACAAAGCCCGAGTGAGAGAATAGCAGCATCCCAGGGGCTCCGACATGTTCCCTGGCTTGATGGCTAACATTTTACAAGATCAAAGTCTTAGGAAGTGCTCTGCAGGGAGCCGCCGCCTCCCCACGCCTGAGCTCCAGCTCCCAGCCCATCTCGGATCTCCGGGGTTTGTCTGGGAACATGCAGCCGGGCTCCTGGGGCTGTGCACGGGCGGCCCATTGACCCGGCTCAGAGGACAGCTCAAAGCCGGGCGGGTGGGTGGCATGGGCTGATGGAGCCCGGGGCGGCTGACAGGCCAGGGCAGGGGGTGCTCCCCGAAGACCTGGTAATGACCACTGGGCTTCCGGCCTCTGGTCCCAGCTGAGCAGACATTTGCTGGTTCTTTCCAGCCCAGTGTCCTTGACTTCTCTGATTTCTTGCCCTTGGGGTCACAGAGCCTCATCGCCTCTGGCTGATGATGAAGTGCCCTGCCCCTTGCTGCCTCGATCTACTCCCTCACTGCTACTAGTTGAAGCAGAAACATTTGGATCATCTTCTCTGTTTTCTAGGGAGGAAAGTGAGGCACTTCAGGTGTGTGTGTGTGTGTGTGTGTGTGTGTGTGTGTGTGTGCGCATGCGCGCGGGACGCGGGGACCTGGTGGGATGGCCATGCGCCTGTGACATGTGCTGGCACAGCACTGTGGGGGCTTGAATATGCCCAGGAACTGCTGAAGGAATGGACAAGGTGCAGACTTTTATGGAGCAGGGCCTGAGATGTCGTGTTTCCCACAGGCTACTAGGTGACCTGATGTGGCTGGTCCGTGGGCCACACTGAGCAGCGAGGCTGTGGACTCTGTGCCCTCCCTTCAAAGCCAGCTCCTGGCAAGGCCACTCTGCTGCCTCTCATGGTTGCTACCTGGTGCTACCAGGCATGTGAAACAGGAAGGAAGATCAAACAGAGGACACTCCTTTTATCTGTTGGATCGGGAGCTCCAGAGGTGGTCGGTCTGCAACCAGCTGTTCTGGATCCTTGTCGTGCATCCAAATTAGGTGGAGTGGGAGGCAGAGATTTTCAAAGATGCTCAGACTGCACTCCCTAGAGATTCTACTTCCAGTTGACCTAGGATGGGGTCTAGGCCATCTCATTTTCAGAAGGTCCCAGGGGATTGTTGAGCACCAAAGGGTGAGAACCACGGCTCTTGGCGTTAAGTTTGATACTTATCATTCATGCATTCACTTGTTTGCTCCTTCCTGCAATCATTTATATAGGTTGCTAACATTTTACAAGACTGAAGTCCTGGGATCTGCTCTGTTGGGAGTGACTACCTGCTCCCCAGGATTTATGGAGCCACCACTAGATACCAAGCACTGGTTTAGGCCCTGCGGACACACTGTGAACAACAGGAGCCCCTGAACAGAAAGCGAGAAGACCATTGAGAAGGAAAGGCAGAAAGGGGAATCGGGGGTGGTCGCTGTTCTTTCCTCAGTGTGCCGGGGCAGGCCTCTCTGGAAAGGTGACCTCTGAGCTGAGACATCCAGCAGAAGTACACTCTAGGCAGGTGAACGGTTTGCAAAGGTCCTGAGGTACAGTGTGCTTGGTGTGTTTGAGAAGCCAGGAGAGGAAAGATACAGAGATACACTTAGCAAACCAAAGTGGAGAACAGTGCGTTACAAACTTGCTAGAGACATATATTTATTTGTTTTAAAATGAACTCTAGGGATCCCTGGGTGGCGCAGCGGTTTGGCACCTGCCTTTGGCCCAGGGCACGATCCTGGAGACCCGGGATCGAATCCCACGTCGGGCTCCCGGTGCATGGAGCCTGCTTCTCCCTCTGCCTGTGTCTCTGCCTCTCTCTCTCCTCTCTGTATATTCTCATGAATAAATAAATAAAGTCTTTAAAAAAAATAAAAAAATAAAACGAACTCTAGGGGCGCCTGGGTGGCTCAGTCAGTTAAGTGTCTGCCTTCAGCTCAGGTCATGACTGGGTTCCTGGGTCCTGGGATCAAGCCCTGCTTGTTGAGCTCCCTGCTCAGTGGGGAGCCTGCTTCTCCCTCTCCCTCTGACCCTCTCCATCCCTTGTGCTCTTTCTCTCAAATAAATAAATAAAATCTTAAAAAAATAAAATGAACACTAGAAGCTTACCTCTGGAAGAAAAGAGTGGCTGTGGACCGGGGTTGGAGAGAGACTTATTGTATTGCCTTTGTGTACATTTTAAATTCCAAATGCCTGCATTACTTATTCAAAAACAAATAAAATTTAAAAGAAAGAAAAAACTAAACAGGGGACTAGTGTGCCTGGGGCTAAGGGAGGAGCGGACCCCAGGGAGGGAGGGGTGTGGTCAGGAAGGCCCCCTTAAGGTATTGAGCTTTATCACTACTGTGTGACCTTGGGCCAGCAACTTAACCTCTTCGTGCTTTTGTGTCTCAGGTCCTACCCTCAGGCCTGTGGTGAGGGGTAAGGAGCAGAGTGTGTCAGCAGCGCCTCCCTGCGTGAGACGGGAGCCCCCAGAGGGTCCGAGCTGAGGTGTGACCGTCCTCAGGAGCTTCTGTTGCAACAGGGTCCCTCTGGCCACTGTGTGAAGAGAAGTGGGGGGACGAGCAGGACCCAGAGGTAGGGAGCCGGGTAAGAGGCCCCTGCACTCATCCAGGTGAGAGGCTGATGGCTGGGACGTGCTGGGTATGAAGGCGCTGCCTGTATTTGAAGCAGAGCCAGCCTGAGCTTCTGATGGGTCAGACCAAGGCTGTGAGGGGAAACGGGGACTCCAGGGTTGTCAGAGAATTGATGCTGCTTGTCCGCTGAGATGGGAGATGGGGAAGCCTGCAAGGGGGCAGGTGTGCGGCCCGGAAGGTCGGGATGCCTGCCCCACATCCCCACAGAGATATGAGTGGGAAGCAGGATGTCTGGGTCTGGGGTCCAGGGGGAATGTCAGGAGCAGAGATAGACTTTTGGGAGTTATTACCACATAGGTGGCCTGAAAGCCCGATGTGGGGTGAGCTCACACAGGATGACAGGGTGGGTGGAGAAAAGACCTCTCTGGCCCTGAGCCTTCAGGTCTGCTAACCTTAGAGGCTCAGAGAAGAGGAGGAGGAGGAGGAGGAGGAGGAGCAGCAGCAGCAGCAGCGATAAATGAGTCCCACGAGCATTTATTGAGCATATACTCTGTTCCACGCACTGCAGACTGCTGGGATAGGAGACGAAAGGCCCGGACCCCACACTGGGGAGCTTCCAGGTTGATGACAAACTGATGAAGTAAGTATACTCAGGGCCTAGTTTGGGGGGTCTGAGCAATAAAGAGAAGAGTATCCACACCTGATTTGGTATGGAGGGAGGTTTCCTAGAAGTGGAACCCTTGATCTGAGTCTTAAAAAAACAATCAAGTGGGGCAGCCCCAGTGGCGCAGGGGTTTAGCGCTGCCTGCAACCCAGGGTGTGACCCTGGAGACCTGGGATCCAGTCCCGCCTTGGGCTCCCTGCATGGAGCCTGCTTCTCCCTCTGCCTGTGTCTCTGCCTCTCTCTCTGTGTGTCTCTATGAATAAATGAATAAAATCTTAAAAAAAAAAAAAAAACAATCAAGTGTTGGAAAGGGAGGAAGAATGTTCCAGAAGAACTCATAAGAGCGGCATGTACTGAGAAGTGCAGATGTTAGCTGGGGTCCTTGTGAGGTCCAGGAGACCCCAGTCAGTGGTCTCCGGAGCCTCATGCCTGCTTTTGATCCCAAGCATTGTGGTCACCATGACGCCCAACAGTGGTCTGGGGTGGGGGTTGGGGGGCAAATCCCGCCTGGTGTCTGTTACTGCCGCCTGCGATTTAGGAATGTTGTCACCAAAAAAAAAAAAAAAAAAAAAAAAAAAGAATGGTTGTTACCTTTTTAAATGGTTGGGGAAGAAAAATAATCAAAGGCAGAATAATGTTTTGTGACATTTGAACATGATACACAATTCAGATTTCAGTATCCATTAATACAGTGTTGTTCAGACACAGCCTTGTCCATTCCTTCCATATGAACAGGCTGCTGAGGTTCTGTGGGGACAGAGCCCAGGGAAGCGGCAGAGGTCACATGGCCTGCAAATTTAAATTTACACAAAAATGGTGGGGCTTTGTGATCCCGTGTTTCAGAGACACCTAGCAGTGAACAAGACAGGAATTGGGGCTCCAGGCTGGTGGGGCCGGCCTGCTCCAGAAGCTGCCTCTGAGGGCAGAGACTGTTTGGAAAGTGATCTCCTGCTTCTAGAATTTCTCCAGCTCCTTTTCCCCCTGGGAGCAGAGTCAGCTGTCATGAGGGAGCAAGTGACCTCCCAGACCAGGCTCTGCCCTGAGAAGCTCCCTCATAAGTCGGCTGGCGGAGGTGACAGGTGACGCGGGCCTTGTGCAGCCTCTGGGAACATTCCCTCTGGGGTGGTGTTTTTGACGTCATCCATGCTCCAGGCAGGGAAGGAGCCACACCATTCTCTCACTGGTAAAATGAAATCTCCACTTACCTAGAATCAGGTTTCATTGTTTTGTTTCACCCTTCAGGAACAAAAAGGTCATTCAAGGGCAGGCATAAAACCTTGTTTTCTGCAGCAGGAATCCTGCTTCAGGTAGCTCCACTGCAGGGACCCAGCCACAGGGCTCCTGGAGTTCACCCCTGAGGGCTGGAGGACAGAGGACTGTCAGGCCTGGGAGCCCCCTGGCTCACCTGACCCCTGACCTCGGAGCTGGCAGGAGGAGCAGGGTGCCCTGAGATACGGAGATGCTCCTGTGCCTGGTAACTGAGTGGGAAAGTCACTTGCTCTCTGAGTGACCTGGTGGCTGGTGTGAACCTGTCCTGAGAGATGCATCCCATCCTCAGAAGCAGCCTTGACGGTGGCTAAGAACAGGGACCTGAGCCAGACCACTGGGGTAGAAATGTTGTTTTTTTCTACCACTTAGCACCTCTGTGCTAAGTCATCTATGTGACCTTCGGCAACTTACTCAACCTCTCTGTGCCCCTGCTTCCCCAGCTTCTATAAAATGTGGTAATCCTAGTATCATATAAAGCTGTTAAGATAATTAAATGGTTTAGCATTTGTTCTTAGAACAATGCCTGGCACAGAATGTTCTGTAAGCCCTTGTTACATAAACTAAACAAAGGAGGGGACTCTCAGAGGGACTCAGGCTCTCTTGTTCTCTCTCAGGTCCCAGAGCACTTTATCAATGTGCTCTCCTAGCGATTAACTGTTTTTAACTTAATGTCATTGGCCCCAGGGTGAGTACTGCCTTCAGTATTGTGGCCCACGCGTTACCCAGCACAGAGCCTGGCTCCGATGAGGCTCTGGATGAATGTTGGTGGAGAAACAAATGCATGAAACACCACCCCTCTGCCCAAATTATGATTAAAAGATTTTATTTATTTTTTTCATGAGAGACACACAGATGCAGAAACACAGGCAGAGGGAGAAGTAGGCTCCATGCAAGGAGCCTGATGTGGGACTCGATCTGGGACTTCAGGATCACACCCTGGGCTGAAGGCAGACGCTCAACTGCTGAACCACTCAGGCGTCCCCCCCTCCCCAAATTAATAGACTATTCTTGAAAAAAGGAGTCCTTGAGAAGCAATCTTCCATGCTAATCGCCAAAAAACTTTCAGAGTGGGCTGGGTACTCTTGCTGGGGGCTGCTGGGTCTGACTGGGGACTTGCAGGGTTGCTGAGTAGTACCCGTGACAGCATGTGGCAGGTTGGGAAATGCAGATGCCCAAGAAACCGAGGCAGCTGGAGGGTGAGCAGCTTTCTGGGTGCCATGGCTTCCAGCCAGCCAGGCCCTGTCCTGCTGAGCCCCAGAGAGAAGGCAGGACCCGTTGACAATCAGCCAGCGGTGGGTTCCCCCAGTATAGACTTTCCACTTTCTTCATTTCTTCACAGAATCCACTTTTCTTCATGAAGTTCTCGGATGAACCGGGTTATTATAATTCTAGGGGCCAGCTCTGCAGCCAATCCTGGGAAGTTAAACCTGAAAATTGGCTCCGAAGCTCAGCAGCTCCTGGGAGGCAGCAAGTGTTCAGAGACGACTTCTGCTCCCTGAGAAGTAAATGGAGGGACTGGCAGGGGAAGGAGAGTGTCCCAGGAGCCTTAAAGAATCTCGCCGAGAACTCAGGTCAAGGCATCTGTGAACCCCTGGCTCAGGCGCTCTCTGGACAGCAGTTCCCATAGCAGCCCTGAGTCATCCGGCTCGGCCCCACCCTGCTGTTCACACCTTCATTGGCATCCATGAGGAGATGGTCTCTTCTGGAAGCCTCAGAAATAAAGAATGTGCTGGGAGGCTCCTTGTCCCACCTCTGCCAACGTCACCTTCTAAGCTCCTCTCTGCTCACGGAGGCCCAGACACTGAATCAAAGCTCACGGAGCCAGCTGGCAAGAGGCGGGCAGAGGTCTGACATCACTGCCTTGGCCGGTCTGCAAATCAGAACCACCCGGTGAGGGAGGAGGGGGACAGACGATGGATGGCTTCCTCTGACAGCCTTTGGGGTCTCATATTTAAAAACATGTATGTGGCCATTGTCAGAAGCATTAGATAGGCTTTGGGTGGTGCCTAAAGGCCTGATCGGGATCATCTGGGCTGCGGGGAGACCTCTGTATGCCCCACCATCAACACTGGGTGCCAGAGGGGCCTCCCTGTGAGCCACTGCTGGCAAGCAAGCCCATCTCTCCTCACCTCTGCAACAGGGGGGTTCAGGGAGGGCATGGCCCCAGAGTCCGAGATCGCAGCCAAGGCAATAAGAACAGTGGCTGAAATACTAGAAATTGCACTCTTAAGTATGGGACAGAAGGGAGCTGATGCATGCCTGGATGAGGGCTGCTGGTGTAAATTAAAACTATCTCTTTGGAAGAAACTTGGAAAGTAAACTTTCTCAAAGCGATGTTCCACAGCATTTGGTTCATTCATGACTAGAGGGCTTGCCATGGGCCAAGCCTTGTGTTGGTCAGCAGCGAGCCAGGCACAGACATGGCTTTGAAGGACCACTCCCCCACCCTTCCATGTTGGGGGGCAGGAGGAAGCAGGGACAGGTCATTAAAAACAGCTCCCAGGCAGGTGCTGTGACTGAACCACTAGCAGAGTTGTGGGGAGCTGGGGCCTTGTCTTCCAGCTGGAGGAGGGGTGCGGCGCTTAGTCAGGGGAGGCTTTCTGGAGGAGGTCATTCCTGAACCGAGTGATAAAGGATGAGTAAGCATTTGAGGGTCGGGCTGGGGGCAATGAAAACATTCTGGGCAGAGGAGACAGGAAGAGCAGGGATGCAAAGGCAAGAGAAAGTGTGTGTGTGTGTGTGTGTGTGTGTGTGTGTGTGTGTGTGTGTACGGTGTGGCTGGCATATTAAATGAGAGCTGGATTGTACAAGCATGAAGGGGGCGGGGGCCAAGGGCCTGATCTGGAAGGCCTTGTGCCCCCTGTGAAGAAGCTGTATTTTATTCCACAAGGGATGGGGAGATGCAGACAGGAGAGTGAAATGGAGTCACCTCTGGCATGTGTATCGTTCAGGATTTTTTGAGCTGGTGTGTCACAGAAACCCAGTGTCAACTACCTTGAGCACAAACGGTGGTTATCAGCTTTCAAAAGTGCGGTGGCCTAGGACAGCTCTGCCTTCAGGAACTGAATCCAGGGGCTCAGACCATGTTGGCAGGAAGTCAGCCTTTGTCTCCACCTTCCTCTAGGTGACCTGGTGGGCCAGGTGGACACTGCCTGCGTAGGGATGCTGGCAAGTCCAGGCTCCCGTCCTGCCAACTAAGCAAGCAAGCCATGCAGAGAAGGACGCCTGCCTCAGTGTACATCCTGTGGCCTCTCATCAGCTGGGATGGAGTCATGAAACTGTCCCTGAACCAATCATGGTGCCTAATTTGCAAAGCTTGGGTTGCTTGCCACCTGCAAGCAGGGAGTGGGGCAGTCCCATGGATTGAGGGGCCGGGGGTAGGATGACTTCCCTAAAATGAGAAGCAGGTGCTCTGATCAGGAGAAGGGAATTGGGGTGCCGGGTCATATACAGTCACATACAGGATGGTTCCATTTATTTTATTTTTTATTTTTTATTCATGAGAGACACAGAGAGGTAGAGACACAGGCAGAGGGAGAAGCTCCCTGTGGGGAGCCTGATGTGGGACTCGATCCCAGGACCCCGGGATCACAACTTGAGCCGATGGCAGACGCTCAACCACTGAGCCACCCAGGTGCCCAGGATGGTTCCATTTATAGGAAGTATCCAGAATCAGTGAGTCCATATAGACAGGCTGAAGATTGGTGGATACTAGGGACAGGGAAGAAGGCACAAAGAAACCGAGGGTTTCCTTATAGGGGAGATGAAATGTTTGGGAAGTAAATTGAGGTGATGGTTACACAGTGCACAACACTGTGAATAACACTCTCCCAAATGCCCCTGAGTTCTTCACTTTACGATGGTTAATTTTATGTTAAGTAAATCTCACCTTAATAAAAGAAAAACACAGCCGGTGTCCACCCCCAGGCATCCTGGGATGCTTCTTCAGTCCACAGGGCCTGCCCCGGGGAGACTCCTTTTTTTCCTGTTTTCTCCCTTTTTGAACCTCAGAGATTTTGGGGCCTGCAGTGGGTTGAAAGCCGGCGGCAATTCTAGGCACGGTCGCCCGCAGGGCCACTGCCCACTGCAGGGGCCGTGGGAACTGAGTGGTTGGTCCAGAAGCTGAGCTCATGTACTTTCATGAGACCTGGTAAAGCAAGCTCCAGTGAGATGCCAAGGACGTCTTGTTCACCAGCTGTACCTGTTTTCCTCGCGGCTCTGGGCTCTGGGCAGTGGGAGGGAGCTCTGCTGCTCGGGGTGCAAGGCTGGGCCCCCCACCCCAACAGGAAGATGGAGCGCTGGGTTTCCATCATCGCTTGGCACGGAGGGTGTGCATGTGACGCCAGTATGAGTGAGGGCTAGTCCTGGGGAAGAGCTGTTTGCACTGGATTGTAAAGGGGAAAGAGGGTTTTGGCTCTCTCTCTGGGCCTTTCCAAATCCTCCATGCTGGGGTTTGGGCAGAGCCCAGAGCTGCCTTGGGGCTGTCCCAGAATGAGCCTGCATTGGCTCCTTTAGGAATGGGAGTTTGAATCCAAACCCCTCCTTGGGTTGCTCAGCAGAAGAGGACTTCTGGTCCTCGCTGGCCTGGCACTGGGTGCGTCTGGCATGGACAAGGGGACCAGTCTTTGGCTGAGCTGTACTCCGCTCCTACCTTGTGCTGGAGATGGGCTGATCTCCAGGTCAGGGTCTGGTCTCCATGGATGCTTCAGGGATTCTCAGGACATGGTCTTGGACCCATCTGTATAAGTCACATGGGGTCCAGGGCTTGTTTATAGTGCAGATTGTGGCTCTTCCCTCTCCCCCAGCCAACTGGGTCAGAACCTGCAAGTGATTTTATAAGCTCCTTCTGGGGATGTGTCCACAGCTGAAGCTGGAGAATGATGGGAATTTGGGACCATGCTTGGCTCGCAAAAGCTGAGATTTCCCACCTGGTCCCCCTTGTGCTTGGATATGCAGGGTGGGCATTCTCACAGATGATGGCTTCTGGCACAGACAGGATAGTGGGTCATGGGATCATATGGAATGGGTTTGAATCTTGACTCTGCCATTTACCAGCCAAGAGATTTAGGAATAACCATTTTACCCTGCTGGTACCGTTTGCTCATCTGTAAAAAGGAGATCCCCAAATTCATGTCCACCTAGACTCCCAGAATGTGATCTTATTTGGAAATAGGGTATTTGGGGGCATCTAGGTGGCACAGTTGATTAAGCAGTCAGGGATCGACCCCACATGGGGCTCCCTGCTCAGCGGGAAGTCTGCTCCTCCCTCTCCTGCTTCTCCCTGCTGCTGGTGCTTCTCTCTTTCTCTCTCTTTCAAATAAGTAAATGTTAAAAAAAAAAAAAAAGGTAATAGGGTCTTTGTATTTAAAGATCGTGACATCACCAGGGATTTAGGCTGGATCCTAAATCTGATGACTGGTATCCTTGTAAGAAGGGGAGAGGATGTCAGCCATGCACAGAGAGAAGGCCATCTGAAGGCAAAGCAGAGTGGAATGGTGTGGCCAAAGGCCAAGGAAGACCTGGAGCTCCCAGGAGATGGAGGAGGCTGGGAAGGCTTCTCCCCCAGAGCCTTCGGAGGGAACATGCGCCTGCTTGTGGTCTCCTGAACTGAGGGAACTAATTTGTGTCATTTTAAGGGTTCAGTTTGCGGTAATTCATTAGGGGCAACCCCACGAAAGAGAAACACCCCCTCAAAGGACAGTTAGCACTGAAAGCACTTGACACAGCACATAGTAGGTGCTCAATGAACGCCCACAGTCATCACTGCTGCCTGTGGCCCTGCAGAGGACCAGTTTCAGAAGGAGCATCTCCGGCGTCCCCAGGGGCACGCAGCCCCTGTGGTGCACTGTCTCGGCCTGCACCCTGCCGGCTGCCTGAGGCTGGAGCCCTGAGAAGGCAGCACCAGAGGGAGAGAAAACAAGGAGGCCGCTGGGAAGGGCAGCAACAGGCCGAGGGTTGAGGTCCGGCGGAGGAACGCTCACCGCCATGAATCATGGCTTGCAAGCCAATCGCTGCCTGCTGACACATCACACCCCGGGGGGGAGGACAGCGGTGACCTAATGCTGGTTGTCACCCACTCAGGGCTCCTCCCAGCACCACCCAGTGCTCAATGGTGCCCAGAGGGAGCTGTCCCCACCCCACCTCTGCCCAAGTGTGTATGCTCTCTCCTCCCTTGCACACACAGCAGGACAAGCAGACCTTCTGAGCCAAGACTTCGGTGGAGGTTTATTATTTGGATGCTTTTGGAATGGGCAAGGCGAACAGTTTCCACTTCCCTGAGGGCAGCCGAGTCATAAACCCTGGAATACGCACTGCACATCTGCCACAGCTGCATTGGGAGAGTCTGCTGGGATGAGCGTCGAAGGGATTTGTTCCCAGGGCTGGAGTCCCATTTTCTCCTGCCTCCATCTATAAAAATAATGGCTTACAGAGGGGAAACAGGCCCAGAGGAGCTAAGGACTTGCTATACATCTTCAAATCAGAGACCTTGGTGGTGAGAGCAAGGATTGGCATCGAGAATTTATCTTGGGCAAAGCTCTGTTCTACTTCCTGGACCAGCCTCCTCATCCTCTTGGCCGCTGCTGTGAATCTCAACTACCCTGCTCCCGGTTCCTGGATGTACCCTGTAGAAACAACTCAGTTTTCTTTGCCCTCGCCTTCTGAAAGCAAGCACGGCTAACAGCAGTGATGTTAGCTCAGTGAACTCCCTCTGTGCATAGCCCACCTTCCAGGATGGAGAAAGTTTTTCCCAGGACTTGGATTCAGGTTCTTGGTCACTATATTGCCAGACTTCGTGAGCAAGAATTTTAGGAGAATCTATTGGG